ATAAGAAACTAGACTAACAGTAGTACCCCTGATAAATCAGCCACTATTTAAAAAGGTGAGACTTAGAGCAAACACACTTTACTACATGTTCCATGAAGGGAACTTTGTCATGAAGTGAAATCAACGTGGAAGAAAATCATTAAGTGCTCAGATCGGGGCTCTTAATTGCTCTCCACAAGTCTGCAAATCCAGAAAGAAAACACACCGTAAATCTTAATAAAAATATAAAGAATTTACAACTCGTAACACATTAGAAATTAAAAAACCAGTGTGTCCACACGCGCTGATCCTTCAGCAGCCCCGCACAGCAGTTGGTTAATAGCTGCACTCCCCTCCTTTCTTTGATAAGTATTTTAAAAACAAACATCTTAAAAAATACTTCTCATAAAACCCTTCTGGAGCAGCCTGGCAGAGTTTCAAGGTATCAGAGAGGCTCTGCTGGTGCTGAAGTTGGAGAACCGCGGCTCTGCACCTCGAGCAGCCACCTCCCCGCGCCTTCTCCTTCCCGAAATGGCAGCGGCAGGAGAAGAGCTGGCGGCAGGAAATAGCGTGAGAATGGGCTCCCTCATGCTACTTCCAGCCCTTCCTGATATCAGAGGGTGTGAAATGGGTTGCAAAGACTGTCTCTCACATTATTTCCTTTTCCACCCCAGCCAAAACCAGGAAGCGCCGGCGAGGGGATATGTACGCAGAGAAAGCACGGCGTAGAGCGTAGCACAATTCAAATTAGTGGCCAAGGCTACTAAAGCAAAAACTCAAGGATCTGTGGGCACAGCCTAATATTAGTAACTCTAGGAAAAGCAGCAGAAGGCTCGTGTACTCAGGCTTTGCTTTTGATTTGCTACTGACATCAAAGCAAGTTTCTTCAGGCTATCCACAGACTTTGGGGTCAGATCTTCCAGGACGGTGTCAATCCTTCATGTCCTCCTGCCACAAACAGCACATGCCTATGGGAAAGATCCTTCTTCCTCTGACTACTCTGCTGTGTATTTGTGAGTCTTTAAGACCAGAGCTCCTCAAATGAAACCTGAGGTAGAAGTATTAGCAATGACAGCACTTCAAAGAGATCAAGTTTGCTCGTATTTGACAGAAGGCACAGATTTGTCAAACAGGTCTTGGCACATCACAGTGGGAATGGCTCCTATATTTTTGATATTAAGTAATACATTTTAAATAAAATGCAATCCTCTGCCTTTAGGGGAGAAATATGAAGGATGGTAAATAATTTAGCATCGTTTGGGATTTTCTGTATTCTAGACAATTCTGTGCTCTTCTGTTTATAATTAGCCAAGAGCAGGATCACATGGTAACTTCAGCATGAACACTCCTTCTCCTCTGTGTAAATCCCTGCAAGATGCAAGAGCAATGAAATTTGCCCTCCTCATAGATAATGCTCTCTCCTCACAGAATACATTCCTCTCAGAGACAAACTGCGGACAACCTCACAGACCACATTGTTCTAAAAGCAGAAATGAAACTAATTACTTGGTAAGTCCAGTTAAGAAAAGGGAAACAAGCTGCCTTTCCTTTCTCTGCCTCTCAAGACTGTCAAATATGCCTTGGCAGGAAGTACAGTAAAGCTCATGATGAGCAGAGGCAGCTACTCTTTCAAAATGAACAGGGCTCCTCCAAAGTGACATTTTCATTTAGCCAGGGAGCTTGAGGATAAAGGGCAGGATACCAGAAGGGCTCTCCAGCAGATGAGGTTACTGGCTGGGCCTTCCAGCTTCACAACTCCAAAGATCCCGACTGCAAGGAAATGGGAAGGTACCTGTGGCTTTTGGTCTTTTCTGAGCCACCACAACCAGGAACTCAGCACAGCAACGAAAAGAGTGCGTATAAATGGTCCCTTCTCATGGGGAGACACAGAGTTGTAGTGATCCACCAGGAAGCATTGCAGTATTTAAAGTTACTGCTCAGCAACAGGTGACAAATACCATTTCAATACTCTGAACACCTACATTTGTGTTAGGGAGATACAGCACATTAGGCTGAGAATATTTGTTCCCACTTTCTTGGGCATGAATGTGCAGCAAAAAGAGGCTTTGCCCTCGCCCTCTGTCCATCCAGGAGAGCTCCTGACCCACCAGAAAGTTCCTTTCTCTCCTCAGCACACATTCCACAGATGTTTAAGCCACCATCTCCCGAACATCTTTCTTTTCCTGATGCTCCAGCCTCCTGCAGCTGTGCCATCCAGCCCTGAACTCTGAAAAGACCTTCTCTTGGACTGCAGCTCATCTGGCCCCATGTAGAATCAGTTTCTATCCATGAAAAGCACAACCCTGAAAGCAGCAATGACAGACAGAAGGGAACAAGGTAATGGCCTTCCCTGCACCTCAGTGCCACCCTCACCCCACTAAGAAAGAAGGAAATAGGAGGGAAAGGACTCGTGCCACTTGCCAAAGCTCAGCAGGCAGGAGGCTGCCTGGAACAGTTGCCACAGGAGCCCTGGGACGTGCCCCCTCCTTGAGGACAGACCAGCCCCCGAGCTCTCCAGGATCCCCCGAGCTCTGCACACATTTCGTGCAGGTGGGGCAGAAACAGAAACAAATTTCATTCTGATATTGACATTTCTGGAAGACAAACAAGACCCTGTAAGATACACCCTCCTTGCTGTTCCCTGCTAAAAGACAGGCAAAATTGATTTTTAAACACTTGGCAGAATCTCCTTGCAAAGCCTCCTATATATAACTGTGTCACAACAGTGAAAAAACCATTCGTATTTAAAAAATTCAGAATGTTAAATGAGCCCATACCAAGACAAACTTTACAGTAAGCAATTCACACTTCAAAGAATGACAGTTGAAAAAAATTTAAATTTCTTTACAAACAACTCTGAAAAGTTAATTTTTGTGAACAAGAAACGTTTAGAATTTTAAAGCAATTCACTGAACAAAGAATCCATTAATATTTAAGAATTTATTTGACTTTCAAGAGCAAGAAAGGATTTTTGGAACTGGATTGATCTTGAAAGAGAAAAGCCACTTTTCCATCTCCCATTTCCAGTATGCCTTTCTTGTTTTAAATGGGGACTTCAAAAGGTAATAGTGTTCAGAACCCAAAATTCCTCTCTGAAAGAGCTGACAAGCCCAACAGTTTGCTCAACTTTCTTTTTTAACTTCTAATAGCTCTAACAACAGCAGCTTGCACATTCAAATTGAAATAGTCCTTACCTGATGAATCTCAGCTACATTTTATATTTTGCTTTTGCTACATTTTTGTTAGTGTGTCCTCACCAGGGTAATTTCAGGAAATAATTTTTGTCAGGTCCCTTTTTTAATTTAATTTAATATGATAAGAACAAGTTCAGCACTTCAAAGTGATGTTATCCTCCAAGCCAACATTTTGCCATTAAAAAACCTCCTACTATGCATTTTCTGCTATTAAAAACAATGCCACTGCATGGTCAAAAATGCCAGAAAGGACAAGAACTACCAAAATTAACAATTAGAAAGCTCCTTCTGCAAGACTGTAACATTTTTCTTTTTTTTTCCCCGAAAAAAAAAATCTAATTTGTCAGCAATGTTCAAGGTTTATTTTTGGCTCAACAGCCCATGATGTAGAATTAAGTGTTCCACTAGATGGAGCAGGACGGCAAAGCCATCATGAAGGCCACTTCCCTTGCTGATCCACGAAAAAGTCAATGCCCAGAGATGATAAGATTTTGAGCTTTCTTCTGTGCTTTCAGGGCACAACAAAATTTGTTCCTCTTTCAGGAAAGGGCAACACAAAACCCTCTTAGTGCTCAACAATATTTACTTCTTCCCAGCACAGAAGTCAACTATTAACAAACACTAACCAGAAACAGATAACCAAGCACTACCAGAAACAAAACCAGCTTTTCCTCATCTCTATCAACTTTACCCATTTACTGGATAGTTGACTGAATATGAAAATCTTGTAGTATTTTTTTATTTTGTAGCAACTGAACTTGCAAAAACCTCCGTGCCAAATGATCAAACATTAGTCACCTAATGCAAAAGACATCACTGCACATCAAACAAATTCACACTGGAAACAATGGCAAAACTTCAAAGAGGCTCCTACAGACTGAGAGCTGTGCAAGTCATAGTAAAATTATCTCTCTTGTCTCTTTTCAAACAGAGTTAATTGTTGATTTACCTTTAAGTCTACCTAAACAAACAAACAAAAAAAGAACCTTATAGATTTTATTTCATCAAATGCTCTTTAAGAGATGCAGTACGAGACAAACTGCAGTTGCCCATCATACTGTGAAAGGAGAAACCTGCATGTCTTTGAGCATTAAACCTTACTTCAGCGTCTCCAAAAGAAGTAGAGAGTATAAACTAAGAAATAATGTTTTTAACTATTAATATTCCAAACATAAGTCCTGCAATTCTTGAGTATAACACAACGAGAATACCAGGAATGGTCACAATTATCACAAGCACTTTGCCACAAAATTCTGAACCACAGTATGTGTGTGATAAGTAACTGCAAACATGCAGCAGTGTCTCAAGACAACACTAATTATCACAGTGGTGTAAATACCAGAAGAGAATGAACCTCTCAGATATGTGCAGGAAGGCACATAAGCAGCAGTCTTGGTGACTGATCACAGGCTGCCTCCCGTGATTGCTGCTGCCATCTCTTTGTTTTTGAACAAATAAACTGCGCCAGAAACCAAAGTGACAAACATGGGTTCATTTCATACCAAAGCACTTTCCAGCTTCTGAAACCTGCTGCAGTACCTGAGGTGGGAGAGGCAGGAAATTTGGCCTTTGAGACAATACAACTGTCCCCTCACAAAGGGGTCAGCCTGTATTAAGACCATTTGAAAGCATCTGCAAGGTTCTCAGTATAGACACTACCTGAACACCAGTTTGTCCCACCTCTCTGAACAGCTGATTACCAAGAATTCTCCATGTAGCAGACACTCCTTTTCCAAGGTGTGGAAAAATAACCATCAGGACATGCAAATCTCAGTTACTACCAGTCAGTAACAAAACCACCTCCAGCCCAGTGGAAGCAATACTTACTACTGTGCACAATCAATCAGCTGATACTCGTTAGATCTCTCATAACAGGCTTTCACACCTTCGTCTTGCCAAAGTGTTTTTGTGTGTTCATAAAACTCCTGAAAGAGGAAAACAGCATTAGCAAAGTGGATTGTAGATGAGGAGCATCAGCAAACAGTAACATATCACTGAATGATGCAATGAACAGGAAATAGCAGCACATTTAACAAAAATCTTTAAACAGCGTTTAGAACCTGACTACAAGTTCAGTTGGCTTTCTTAGTTTAACATTTTGTAACACCTGAAGAACTGCTTCTCCACCACTCTGATTGAATCCAAACATAAGAAGGGTTACCTTTTCATTAATGACATAATCAATGTTATTAGGTAAATCTGTTCTTTAACTCACCATTCCACTGTACATTACATTTATGTGGCTGACACAATTTTTTTTTTCTTCCATGAAACACTTCTCAGTAATTCTTACACAAAGGTAGCAAATGATGATTAGGCTTTACATGACTTTGCAAGTTGGTGAGTATCTTCAGGGACTATGCAGACATCTGTATCTTACTAAGGTCTGTATCGCTTAACTCAAGAGTATCTGCAAAATTTATTCTTTTACAGTGTAAAAAGACATTGAACTATGGAAGAAATACAGGCACACAAGGCCAGATCTTGTTTTGTCTCAACCTTAAAAAATTATAAGCCAAGATAGGAAAGCAGACAGCCAAAAATGCAATGCTTCAGCTTTGCTGAACCTGTCACCCAAGTATAAAACACAACCAGAAGCCCTTTTTTATATATAAAAGATTCCCTTTGGCTCCAACAGGATGTGTGCAACATGTAATTGTATTTCTGGCTATCACTAAGAACTCTGAACACTTAGAAAGAACAGCAGCAGCCTGATGACTTAAATACACACACACATCACTGTGGGCATTCCTTTTATCAACGACCATGGGCTTTTCTTGGCTCTGTCTCAGGGCTTTAAAGTGTTTTGGACTAAATACTTTTACTCTAAGTGGCTCAGGTAGCTTATTCCAAATAAATTTTTTTTTTTAATCCAGAAGAGCATAAGACCTTAAAAACAGCTGCTGTATATATTCTATTTCTTCCCCTCCAGCCTTTTCTTTACCATAGAATTATTTTAAAGAAAAAGAATGTATAGCCATTTTCAAGGTTCCTCCATCTCTTGGGATATCAGTCTCTCACATTCTTTTACTATCAGTGTAGTACAAAGAAAAAAGGGGCACATCCAAATGTGACTTCAAAGGTTTCACTTGAAAATGTCCTTAAAAAAAAATTCCCTTTCCTACCAGAATGTTAACACCTGAACTGCAGCAGAAAGCAGATCCTTTAAATTGCATCTTAAAGACGCATAATGGCATCTCCAAGTAAATTCAGTGATGCTGATTTTCAAAGCATCCTCTTCTTGTGTAAGATTCATATGTGTGATCTTACAATTGTGAATACCAATGATGGAACCAGCCTACCAGATGTAAATTTGATCTTGCTTTTATTGCTATTCAATACTCACTAGTTGCACATACACACCAGACACAGTAAATGCAACATACACTTCTAAATTTTGTTCTGGTTTCTTTTAATATATAGGAGTTTTTTATATATAGTAGGAGATGCATCTTTTCATTTTGTTCCATGCTTTTAGGAACTGTTCATAAACAAAAAGACCAGTTAAATTTCTTGCATAAGTAGATAAGAAAATTTTACTTGATTTTTACTATTTGCAGACTGTACAACCATTTGCTTTTGCTATTAAAGGACGTAAAAGATGAATCAAAATCTTAATTCCAGTCCAATTTTCTGTCTTCCACTGCTAGAATTATGTTCGTTGGATGCTTTAATTTTGAAGATTTCCAGTTTCTTGGCAGTTGGGAGACTGTGAACTACCTTCAATCTACAACTCTGTCACAGCAGAGTGAGGAAAATATCTTTCCAAAGCAAAAAGGAGAGGGAAGGGGAAAGGAAAGGAAAGGAGGGAGGGGGAATTATCTGCAATCTCACTATATTTGTACCAAGACCATTTTGGGGTAGGTTTCTGTATTTATTTTTAAAAGTAACAGTTGTCTAATACAGAACATCATATGACTCACTTATTACTACAAAGCTGGGAAATTGAAAAATTGAATCAGCAATTGTACCCGATTTTTTTTTTTTTCTGAAACAGTAGCTGATTTGAATGGACAGACACCATTTAAAATTCTCATCAAGATAACTTACACCAGACTTCAGATGGTTAATTAACTATTTGGCAGAAATATAGTTCTAAACCAGACATCTGCTTCAAATTCGGGTCAGCATCTGCCAAGCCAATTATATCCAAATATACCCCCAAATACTCACTTCATCCTGCTTTACAGTAAGTAAACAAATACTAGGCAAAGGTAAGTTTACAGAAAACACAGTAAAACATTCCTTCTCATCACATGTAGATAAAAAGTGAAAAATAGGCTGTGCCTTAATAAAAGAAGTCACAGCATAGTAAGACACTGCCTCAAAAATCCTCCCTCATTACTGCTTCTCACTGTAACTATGACACTCCGGCAGAGCTGATACAGAACAATTACTTCAAAGAACTTCCAAACTCCATCATACCTTGTGGAGAAACATTTGGAGTAGTTTCCACAATCAGACCCTTAAAATGAGATGAAAAATAAACCCAGTTCCTGGCCTTAGCATAAACACATTGATAATGAAAAGCCCAGGATTTAGTTTACCAGAGTAGTTACATATTGTTTAGAAGAGTCCTCCCTGTGTTTTATTGGCAGTTTTAACTTCTAAGAAAATATGTGAGTTTACAAGAATGGGACAGAGATCAGTGTTTGTGCCTTGTTAGGCCAAATTAGCAATAAAATATTTAAGACTGCCTTCATGCCTGTCCTGCTAATCTGAACTATAACCAGCAATGCTTAAGCAATCTCCTCAGTATGGTTATGAACTGTCCATGTGGGATGGAAAAAGAATTTAAGTCCACATTCTTTGAACTTTTTATTGGCATTTCAAAATCAGGATCTACAGCAAGTAATGAGTAAGAGATTATTATACTAGGACACAGTGGGGTTTTTTGGGGTAGCTTTTTTCATGTTTCTTTTGGTCTTTTTTGCCATTTGTTTGTATTAATTTTGTTTTAAAAACTGAAATACATGACTTGTAATAATCAAATATGAAGGCCTCTTATTAACAAATCACTTTTTGTCTTTAGGCCACATCAAAATACATCTTCACACATGCTGGGGCTAATGCTGACCCAGGTTACACAACTGTAAACTAGGAAGGTGTTCACCAAAGCAAAGGCAGAACCAGGTTCGCAGAATTCCCCTCTTGCTTTATTAGGAGCCTCCTCACAGTAGTGACTGATTCTGGAATTAAGACATAGTAACTAGTTGCAAAAAAAAACCCAGATTCTCCCTCCTCCCCAGTACACCTACACTAATCACAGTTCTGAAATAATATTTAAGAGAAAGAATAACACAAGAAATCCTCAGCATCCCATTTGAGTCACGGAACGTAGCCTGGGGCTACTCGCAGGGAAGGCAAGTAAAACCACAAGATCCGGGAGGTATTTAGGTAAAACAGGGGCTTCAGAGGCCACTAGAAAAATCAAGTTAGCAACAGGGTTTGTTTTGAGTTAAAGAGGTCTAATTTGTATGAGAGCTCTAAAAATAATGCGTTAGGAAACAAATTAACCAAAAGTAGCAGGAAAATTTCCTGAAAAGAAATATCCAGAAAACTAGTCCTTACATGTCTGGTTCTTGTTTCCACAACACTGATTCATTTGCTGGCACATTCTAATATAACAGACTCTACAGTAGCATCAACACAGGTTTTCCTTGCACTATAAAATGGAACTCCTCATAAAACAGCTAACAGAAACAAATAATACTAAATAACAATTTGGTTTGAGATGACATTCCACAACAAACAGGATCTAAATGTTAGGTTCCAAATGATCCATAGTATTTGCACTGATATGCTCATATTATCCATTCTTGCCCTACGCATACTTAAAACTGAAAAAACAAAATTCAAATTATGTCATTTTCCATTAAAAAAAAAAAAAAAAAAAAAAAAAAAGAAAAATGTTGCAGTTCCACAACACACACCCAAGATCCTGTTTAAACTACAGCTGAAGCTGTGTAAAGCAACAAGAGTCAACAGAAGTGGTGACAGGATGGCACCACCAAGGAAGGTGAGAAGCGAGTTCTTCCTAAGCAGTATGTCAGGACTGGAGCATTTCTCCACCACCAGAACAGACTTTACACTTTTCAAAGCACCAACATAACCCTAAAGAGAGAGAAATCCTTGAGCAGGGAAAAGAATGCCAATGTAACACAAATCTGAACAGAACAAACAGGGCCTGACTTTGAATCTGCTCAGACTGGGCTGACGGTAGTTTGGATTCTGGGCACAATCCCGAACAAACAGGCCACAGAAACTACACAAAACTCAGAGAAAATCCTCTGTCCAGGTAAAACTTCTCTGGTCTTAGATAATTACAGAGTCAAGGATCATGACTTGCTGATGATGAGGAAGCCTCATCTCTCATCGTAACATAACACCACAATACTTAGAAAGTCGTATTTATGTGAAATGAATCTCATTATTTATGTTTTATTTATTAGGTGAAGCTTTCTCCACCTGCTGAAAGCTTCCCAATTCAGTGAGTCAATAGGCAACATTTGTAAATCACTTGTATTCACTTACAGGAATCTCTGCAGACCTCCAGAGAAAAAAAAAACAAACACAGTGGAAATCATCATGTGAAAGGGATGCTTGGAAACCAGTACTTTGTTCCAGAAAGATCTTGCTGGCACAATTGTGGATTGGAAAAGAGGCATTGCAGAGCCTTAGCAAGTTTAAAACCTACTTGTATTGGAAAACTTCAGCAAGTTGAATAAATGGTAGCAGGTAAATAGGGGTTCTGATAAAAGTCAAACCAGAGAAAGTGTTAAAGAACTTGGAGGTCGAGTGTTTTGGTTATTAAAAAAAAAATAATCCTCAAGAGACAAACTCCGGGCCTGGGAAAAAATAAAGGAGCTAAGGTCTGCGTTTGAGAGGCAATCTAAAAGCATAAAATATTAGTAGAAAATGAAAG